TTATAATTATACTCACCATTATCTTTGCTAATATGATTTTGACATCGACGCACGGGATCACTGGTATCGGTAGAATAAATCGGTGTAATTCGATGGTGACATTTTCATGTGGCTTCACATACAGACGCTGTGAATCCTGCGAGAAGATAACATAACGAGACGTATTTTCGGTGGTATTAACCTGAATGCGAAAATCATAGCCACCGTTATCATGTTCCTCACAAACCGGTATGGAATTGTAATTCTAAGAAATTGACAACAAGAAGAAAATAAATGCAATTAAAAAAATACTGACAAAAAAAAACAAGGAATATCAAATCTTTACTTACCATTTTTGGATCCACCATTTGTTCCATTAAATTCATGATTTCCGATTGCTAAAATAGAAAACGAAAATATATTAATTAATCAAAAAAAAAAAAAAAAATAAATAAATATAAATTATCAAAGGTATATGAGGCAGTAACAATTTGTTAAAAACTCCACAGACTCTCCATTTTTGAAAAGTTAGCAACTTCATGGTTGCAAGGTTGAAAACAATCTGCTGCCGCCGCCTTGGCGTCCTCATTACAATTCCTTGAGGAATGTCTGCCTAACTGACTTGGTTTAAAGTTCACTCTGTCCTGCTGCTGTCTCTTTTTGTTTGGCTGTTCGCCGTCCGATCGTTGTGTCTGTCTTGCCACATGAATAAGAAGTGTAAATATTTCACAATTCAAAACAAAAACAAAGACCGGTCGCAAAGTACTTTTTTGTAGTTGTTGTTGTTTACGATGACGACGACGTCTTTTTCTGCTTTTTGCAATGTGACGTCACGCTTATTCATTCGTATCCAGACGGGCATGCTTAAGTTTGCTTGTGAAATAAGAACACAATCTAACCTCAAGAGGAGCCGCTTGTCATCTCCTCCGTCTCCTCACCAACCAATCAATTCAATTCATTGCACCCAATGGAGACAACGAATGACTGACAATAGTGTTGCTAAACATTATTTTGCGATTCGCTTGTAGAGCTTTTGTTCGAAACAGCTGAAGCAGAACGCTGAGCAACCTGTTGTTATGCGGGAATTTCCTGCATTCGCTGCTGAGTAGTAGGACAACTGTACAACCGTCTTGTGATTTTCTTCGAATTTCAACGGTCGTGAGGATGACTAAGTTTGTTGCGAAACATTTGTATTTGACATGTTGGGATACAACAGGGCAACCTGTTGCAAACCACTAGAGTCGGTTGACATTGCAACATGTGTATGGAAACATGTACCGACATAACAAGGTACACACACACACTTACGGTATGTGTGATTTCGATGATTGCACACAGTGTTGCCAAATAACTTTGTTTTTGTTAGATCTCGTACGATTTTTTTGAAATGTTTGATGAAGTATTAAACAGGGGCTTCGGAGCTATTAAAGACATTATTTTGTAGGACTAACAAACTAATAATGGTGATGTTTAAAGGGAACCCCCCATTCTCATTTTTAATTTTTCAAGATTTTAATGGGCTGGTAAATCAATTCAAATGCTTGTTAAGGTTTGCAACTTTGTACATATATATTTGAAGATTTAAAAGAGAAGAAAAATAATTTACAAAAAAATTGTTGTTATTGTTTTGTTGTTTTTGTAATTAAAGAAAAGCCCTTATTTTTTGATTGCGGGCATAATAACTCCTCACTGGAACATCGGAATCCGAAAACTCCAACGGTGTTAGAAAGAGTACATGTCTGGCTCTCGTATGAACTAGGATTATTGACTTCACTCTAAAATTAGCAAAATGGCGGACCTTTGAAAAAATATTTTTCGAAAATCGCCGATTTTTGACCAAAAACCAAGTTCAAAAATAAGGAAGATCTTCACCGATTGGCTTTATCTTAGTAGTTCATGCGATAGATATATACTCACAGAGAAACGTGTAAAAATTTGGAATCGATTGGGTTATTAGTTTTTGAGTTATCGTGCCCGCCACTAGCAAAACACGTAATTAACACGTAATTTTGCACAACGTATAAAATTGAGACTTGAGAGACGTTATTAGTTTATAGCTTCCATATGTATTTCGAACGGGTTTCTGATTGAGATTACATTTTTAACAGTGCAAATTCCGTGCAAATCGAAAGATATATAGGGTCTTTGGTACACCATTTTCATTAAATCGGACGAAAATATATATGGGAGCTATATTTAAATCTGAACCGATTTTCACGAAATTTAATTCACGTTTTTCTAGACTCAATTCTGTACGCTATGCCAAATTTCGTGCAAATCGAGAGGTATATAGGGACATCGGTGCACAATTTACCTTAAATCGGACGAAAATATATATGGGAGCTATATCTAATTCTGAACCGATTTTCACGAAACTTAACACACATCATTTTAGGCTCAATTCAGTACGCTGTGCCAAATTTCGTGCAAATCGGAAGATATTTAAGGACTTTGGTGTACTATTTACCTTAAATCGGACGAAAATATATAGGGAGCTATATCTAAATCTGAACAGATTTTCACGAAACTTAACACACATCATTCTAGACTTAATTCAGTACGCTAATTAAATCGGATGAAAATATATATGGGAGCTATATCTAAATATGAACCGCAGTTTACTCTCAACACTCGTTGTGAACAGTCGACTTTTCTCTCACAGCGCACAGAGTTTATTTTTGCTATCTCAAACAACGGTTACTTTTTTTTTTTTTTAATACCTTTTGTTTACAAAAAGTTTCTAGTGTTAAAAATCAAATTTCTTCGTCATGGCATCCTCCTCGGGAGGAAACTATTATAAGGATCTGGATCCAGACGGCGGCTCCAGTTCTTCTCCCAAAAGGAAAAAACACAAAACTGGGTCCTTAGCTCTGGGAAATACATTAGACTTTCCAGCTCTAATAACACACAAACCTAAAAACCAATCCTGTCCGAAATATGTTATCATGAAAAGTAAACACCCAGAAAAATCGCTCAAGTCATTTAACATATTTTTAATATCAAAAGCAATACAATGTATATCTGCTGAGCCTACTTTAAAAACAATATTTACTAGAGATGGTAATATTCTATTTTTGACCAAAAATGAGTACCAGGCTAATCGGTTTATAAAAACTAAAAATCTTAGTGGAATTTGTCCTGTCGAATGCTACTACCACCCAACGTTAAACATTGTGAAAGGTTTTATTCGCTGCGATCTACTCACGGATCTATCTATAGAAGAAATAGTAAACGGTATGAAATCGCAAGGAGTAGTTGATTGCCAAAAAATAACCAGATTCCAAAATGGTAAAGTATCAAACACTCCATCCCACATACTTAGTTTCAACCTGTATGAAGTTCCAAAGGTTGTTGATATTGGGATAATAAGCTGTATTGTGAAAGAGTATATACCAAATCCAATACAATGCAAAAATTGTTTTAAATTAGGCCACACCAAAAAATTCTGCCAAAATTCTCCTATGTGTGAAGTATGTGCATCTGTAATACATGATCCCACTCTCTGTACTCATGTCAAATGCATCAACTGCGAACACCAACATAGGGCCACCAATAAAGATTGCCCTGAGTTCCAGCAAAGAAAAACGGTACTTAGACATAAAATAATAAATAAATGCTCTTTTAAAGAAGCAGCAATAAATGCCCCAAAATTAACTCCGTCTAACATACCAATAGAAAAACTCTCAGATGCCATAGAAGAGCGCAAAAAAAGAATCATAACCAGTACCGCCAGCATGGCAAACAACCACAACAACGTTGTAATACAAAACACCAACAATAATATTACTCTCGCAACACCTACCAAAGTAACACAACGTCAACAAAGCACAACAACTGAACAACTCATCACAGAAACTTTAAAATCAAATAAAACTCAACACACTCCCACCTCAAAAACAAATACTACAAAAGAAGAACAACGGAATACAACAAGCGAAACAATAAATAAAGAAGAATTACTCAACAGATTCACCACGAAAATAGGTAATATAAACAAAACCAAAAATAACACTGAAACTCCAGTTTCAGCTGAAGTATCTGGAAAAAACACCACAAAAGAGAAAAAGAAATATATACCAGGCAAAATAACTTCTAGAAGAGATGCAATAAACGATCTTGAAGATACGATAATGTCAGAATAATGTATACCATAACATTATTTTGTAACTTTATCCGTATCTATGATCGATTTCAAAATAATACAATGGAATATAAAAGGGTTAATAAACAATTACGTCGACCTACAATTATTAATTCAAGATCACTGCCCGCACTTTATCTCATTGCAAGAGACCCACATTCCATTCCAATCTCATCCTATTGCGCCTAACTTATACCATGCGTACTCCACCAATAAACCATCAAACATCAATGCAAAAAACGGCTTAGCTGTTTTTATCAAAAAACATATCCCACATAAAAGAGTCTATAATTCGTCTAAACTGCTAAATATCGTAATTGAAATAACTCTAAACGTAAAACTAACAATAATATCGATCTACATACATCCTAACGAGACATTCACAGTTAGCGATATTTCAGCACTCTTTGTAAATATACAAACCCCGGTGTTGTTAATCGGCGATGTTAACTGCTGGAACATACTATGGGGCTCAATCAAAAACAATCCTAGGGGTGTTGTTTTAGAAAACGCATTAAATAGGCACAATATGTGTATTCTTAACGATGGTCAACCCACCCACCTATCAACTCTTAATACACTAACCAACATTGATATTGCATGTTGCTCTACATCCCTCTTACCCTTAACGTCATGTGTGACAATAGACGACCTATATAGCAGTGACCACTATCCCATCCTAACTACCATCAACACAAATTCTACATGGTCATCCATGAAACAAATGCCAAATTACAACTTCAAAAATGCAAGATGGTTAGAATATAGTGCCGCTATAGACATGGAGTTAAATAGTACATCATTTGTAAGAAATCCTAACAAAATTAATGCGACTGTCACCAAGGCAATAAGAACTGCAGCAAATAAATACATCCCGTTAAGGAAAAATAAAAGAAACCACTATGTACCCTGGTGGAACAAAAATTTACATCTTCACCGCCAAAACAAAATTGTCGCATATCGTATATTTCGCAGAAGTCCAACGAACAACAACTTAATACGCTACAAAAAGGCCAACGCAAAATTTAGATACGAATGCAAACAGGCAAAAATGAATTGTTTTAAACATTTTACAAACACCATAAGCAGAGACTCTCCCCTCTCAATCATATGGAAAAAAGTCAATAGAATGTCAAACCGAGCCACATCAAACACTTTAACAGTAATCGAGACAAACGATGTGATATTATCTGATCCTACGGATATTGCTGATTTTTTTTGGGCAACGATGGTCTTCTGAATCCTTGGACACAAACTTCCCACCAGAATTTTGCAGAGAAAAATATAACATCCCAAACTATTACATCAATGCTGCCACCGATAAATGCGCCTCCTATATAGAAAACACAATTAACTATTCGGAACTAAACATAGCTTTAAAAAAAGTTAAGGGCAGCACACCTGGCCACGATCGGATCTCTTACTTGATGTTACAAAATATCTCAAAATATGGCAAAGAAACACTTCTTTCCTTATATAATCTTGTCTTTGATTCCGGTATTATACCCTTTTCATGGAAGTCCGCAGTTGTAGTTGCTCTTCCGAAGCCAAATAAGAGCAGGACTGATTATTCTGGATATAGGCCAATTTCATTATTGCCGTGTCTATCAAAATTAATGGAACGTATAATTTCAAATCGATTGGGTTGGTTTTTAAAAACTAAAAAACTAATTACGTCAAACCAAGTAGCATTTAAAGCCAAGCAAGGATGTGATGATGCACTTCTTCATATTGATTACTATGCCTCCAAAGCCATTTCCACCAGAAATCATATATCTATACTTGCAATTGATTTTGAAAAAGCTTTTGACCGTATCGGAGTTCATGTCATTATGGAATCATTAATATCCTGGGGTTGTGGTCGTAAAATGCTAAACTACATTAAATCTTTCTTAACTGGTCGAACTTTTCGAGTGAAAATTAATAACTTCCACTCTAAAAACTACACATTACAAAATGGGATACCTCAAGGTTCACCACTCTCAGTAACACTTTTTCAGATTGCCTTCAATCAGATAAGCATTTTGATTAATAAATACAACAAAATTTATCATTGTTTGTATGCTGACGATGTCTACATCTTAAACCAACAAAAGGAAAACAACAACACCAATGAAACGTTTAAAAAAATTATTTTAGATATCATAAACTGGTGCAAAACTTCTGGAGCTAAAATATCACCTTCGAAATCATCTATACTCCATATTTGTCGAAAACAAAATTGTAAACCAAATAACTTCGATATCGACAACATAATCTTTCCATATGTCAACGAACTAAAAATCTTAGGCATAACATTTGAAAAAAATTACCGATGGAGGAGTCACATCCTATATTTAAAGAAAGAACTTACCTCCAGATCGAACATTATAAAATATTTATCCAGTAGAAGTTACGCCCACATAAACACACTGGCTTATTTAGTAAAAACAATCGTCCTAAGCAAAATTGATTATGGTTTTTACTTATTTGGCGGCAGTCCCAACTCCACCTTAAAATACATCAAATCTCTATATCATGGATGCGTAAGATCAAGCTTATATGCTTATCGAACAACGCCATTAAAAATATTATTTATTGAGTCTGGTTTGCCTTCTCTAGAGGAAAGATTTAAAGTATGTATGAACAGATTGTTGCCAAAAATCCTATCCATAAACATGTCAGTAATCGATGATGACGTTTCGAAAGTAATAACATCTAAACGGATACCTAGAGTACCTTCTGTTATTTACCAATGTATACACAACAATATTTTAGAGTTTAAAGAAAAGATGACAACATATACCCCAAAACATCCCGCCTGGCTCTTCTTCTCAGATAAATCCTGTGACATATCTTTATCCTTACACAAAAAAGATAACACGCCTAACGAAATTTTTATTGCTTATTTCAATCACCTAATATCCAAGCACAATAACTGGAAAACACTCTTTACTGATGCCTCAAAAAACAATTCCACCACAGCGTATGCAGTTGTAAACAATGTTGGCGATGTACTTTCCTCCAAAATTTTATCAAACTACTGCTCTATTTTCACTGGAGAAGTAGCCGGTATTTTAGAAGCCATATACATTGCTAAACAAACCAAGGAGAAGACCATAATTTTTACCGATAGCTTATCTGCTGTCAAGTCCATAACAAACCTAACTAATACAAAATGGACTGGTATTAATAAAATAAGGGATCAACTAATATCCAACGTGAATAAAATTAAATTAGCATGGATTCCTGGTCACGTAGGTTTACAAGGAAATATCTTTGCTGATAATGCTGCAAAAGCAGCATGTAACGCACCTATGTTGACTGATACACTTGTCGAAAGGATGGACCTTAAATCCCATATTTCAATTCGGCTGCAAACGGAACAAAGAACCAATAGAAACAACTTCCAACATCACCATTACAGCTTTATAAACCCACTTAGTGAGGTTCCATTATACCCTCCAAACGCTGAAAAAAATAAAATTAAAATATTCTCCAGACTACGCATGGGTCATACAATTTTAACTCATCAACACCTAATTAATAAGAACACTGACAACAAATGTCCTAAATGTGGCGCTATCGTCGATGTCAAACACATACTGCAATCATGTAGTCTATTATCTCAACAACAACGCACTTTTCTACAAAACAATGGATACAATATGCTCAAAACCATAAACACTCAAAATATCAATCTCATTTTTGATTATATTAAAAGAAATAATGTAATAATTTAAGTAAAAATAAATTCATATCATACTACTTTATATTAAAGTATTAGCTGATGGCCTTTGCAGCCAATGCTCTTACCTTCTGTATTATTCTTATATTTACTATAAGTGTAATATTTTATAAATAAATAAATAAATAAATAACTGTTACATGCCGAGCATAGGAGCACTTATACTATATGCTCCTGTTGCATAATTTTCGACGAACTAATACCGCCAAAGACTTAAAAAAATACTTGGAAAATATTAATTTTGATCGATATTTTGTACATCGAGGTCTATTTGCAGTATTTTAAATTGATTCTGTATTAAGCGATCTAACTTTCATATCGGTAATCTCCACTCTTCAACTGAGTTTACATTTGTATACATCATATTTCAAAATTATACTTTTTTTAATTCCCACCATACAATTGTTCAAGTTCATATTTAATCTTTTTCGCTTGCAGAAATGCCAAATGTTTTTGTATGCGAAAATATTCGGCCTTTTCACGATAATAATTAGTTTCGGCTATTATTCGACGCTCCTCTAAAATAATTCTTCGTTTAGTAGCCGATGAAATGTTTGTGTTTATTTTATTATTATTAGATGGCAGGGGATTTGTATTTTGCTCAATATGCAGATGATCTTTTGATTGTTCCTCCTGGGAATAGGTTCCATCATTCCAGACTTCTAAATCCGCCAATAACTAGGGGAATATCAAAAAGAAAGAATGAAATTAATTGTCGAAAAATACATAAAACCAAATATTAATGAAATACCTCATTATTGCCCGGATTGTATGGATCTATTTCCGCTTCCTCTTCGTTGTGGTGATACAACTGCCTATTTTGACGGTTACGAAAGAATAGTTTTTCTTCTTCTCTCCTTTCCGGTTGGTACTCCTCAACAGTGATACTATTTACTATGTCATCCCCTTCTAAATGTTGCTCCTTCTTCCTGATACCAGCTATAGTCCTTTCCAATTGGCCTGCCGACATGGAAAGGGCTTTCATTTTTCGTACATTATCAGGATCATTTAAACCGCAGTGCCTTGCATCGATATCATGTTTGACTTTCAAATGCCTTAGGGCATTTGCCGTATTACCCATATAACGTTGTTCATGTCGACATATCCGACATTTGACACGAGAATCACTTAATTTCTCAAAATACTGCCAAACGAGACTGCTACGCTTCCTGCGGTTTGAATCGCTTTCATTGTCACTCATTTTACAAACAAATTGGCGGGTATTTTTTTAAGAGTCGAATATAATTTTTTTTTATTCGTCTATTTATTTATGTATGCGAATTATTGTTGTAATTTTTCGTCGAAATTCTAATTCGATTAAAAATTGAGTGTTTTCTCTGGTTGGTTTATTCGTATACAGATTGGTGATGTAATACATGCGAATATGGTTACTTGTTTTTGGTTTATTCAAATTAGTGTTGATAAATTTGTTAATGGATAAAACCGGTTTGGTGTACAGGTGTATAGGTTTATGATGCACTCGTGAGTTTTGTGTGTGTGCGGTTGATGAAACATTATTGAGAAAACTAAACGTGTTTGCGAGCATGGACGTAGTTAGAACTGAATTTTATATACCTGATGGGGTCTTTTTGAATAATAATAAAATGTACTGTGTTTTTTTTATTTTTTATTTAATTTCTGTATATTTTTTAAACATATCTGTACGTAAAATATTATAATAAGCATCTTTATATTTAAATAATTTACAATCCGCATTACATTCTCTTAGATGGTAATAAAATGTTTCAAAAATCAGTGTAATTTCCTAAAACACAAAGAATGATAAATTTAATTTTATAAAAACAATAAATATATTGTTGTTGTATTTTACCTGTAATATATCCCCATTATATTTTTGTACTTTAGAACGGCTGTGAATTTATCATAAAATGTGATGAGATGGGGCTCAATTACTCGCAAATTTATTGGATATATGGCAACAATATAACAACGGTGAATTTCCTGAAAATATGTCCATCAATTTCAATAATTTAATTAAGAGATATTTTAATTGTTTACCTTTAACATATCCAAACATATATCCACATTCTGCATTAAACGATATGATTCCAGTATAAACATTTTCAATATTGTTTTAGCCCATCTGTATGATGTATAGCTTGAATTGTTGCCTCCAAGTAGACGGATTTTATCTATTGTCTCATTGTCCTTTAAATCTGTACATAGGCAATTATCAAATTCTTGTCGATTTATATTGAAATATACAATAAATCTATTAAGGTATTTCATTAGATTTATTGATGTCAAACTGTTCGGAGCAAGTGGTATATTTCGCAGTAGAATTTCCAAAGAATCGTCCAATTTATTCCACTGAAAAATAATTGAATTTAAGAAAACACTTCAATTATTGCAAAATCAAATACACACACAAACTTACCGTAAAACTATCCATATCTTTATAAAAATCAAAACATTTTAATAAACAATTCCATTGATGCTGTATAAACTCAATAGAATCCATAATATGAAGATCTTTGAAAATGGCATCATATATGACACTGTGTATATTCATAGACAAGATTTCATCGAAATTCTGAAAACAGAAAAAAAACTTAGTTTATTGATATACCAAAGTTCCATATTCCTTACCCCCTGGTTAAGCATTATGGCAAATATTTGTGTACTTAAGAGCTTGTAATGGGTTTCATAACATGTCCTAATATTCAGGCCAACAGATAAACAGAACATAAGTAACTGTTGATCCATAAAGTTTTGCGGGCTAGGTGATGCTGCATTAACCTGAAAAACAGAACATACAATAAGAATTCGTACACAAGAATTTGTTAATTTTAGTTTTTAACTTTTTACCATTAAATATTTGACAAAACCATTTGTGGCACCTATTTGCCTCTTCCAAGTATCCTTATGCAATTTTTCTTGATAGTATTTAAGTAATTTTTCCTGTACCACCTTGGGAATCCTAGCTGATCTTTGTAGAATTCTATCAGCATTGTTCAGTAGCTCAGGTTGGTCCACTGTATATACTGTGTCCCGCATAGACATTTCACAAAGTAATAAAATAAGTTTTGCTTGCAACTGCAATATATAAACAACTAATTTAAGATTATTTTTATATAGTGGCTAAAAGTTCAATACCTCTTCTTTATTTGTTTGGTCATATTCATGTTGACATCCATCCCATGGCTTAATGTGCTCTATCCAGTCAAATAATATCGGTAACTGTATTCTCAAACACTCATGATATGATTTGAAATGATCTCGTTCTATTGGTATGCTGTCCAAATCCTGTCTTAATTCTGGCAGCATACATGACTGAATTAGTTCCTGGACTTTGTCCAACGGCAAAAGTGAGTCCATAATCAAAACAATATTCGAAGTGTTGGCGTGGGGTGCTTTCGAATGAAAAAAAAGTTAGTTAAAAAGTACAATGCCGTTTCTAAAGTTTTGACGGCGTTGTGGAATTTGACGAAATTGAGTCAAAACGTAACTGATAAAAGCCAGAATCAAAATAAACACCGATTAGGAATAGTGTCTCTAAGGTCGAAAATCGGGCCGAATAGGGGAATCAAAACAAATCGACCGATTATCCTGATCGGGTAACTGGACTATAGGGATATGTAAATCGGTGTAAATTTGAAAACTTTAAAAGCGAATTTACATATAACATTTAATCATGATTAAAGGCTGAATCAGGGTTTATTTTCTTAATCAGGATAAATTTACCATGATTTACCACACAAATTTAAATCATCGTGCAGCAGGATTTGTTTTAAATCATGATCGAAATCATGATACTACTGAGATGCAACGCGGGTTTTGTACGAAAAAATACAACTCTCTCACAATGTACCAAAATTTGCAACTGTTTTTACATGCCGTTTGTTTTTAAATTTAACGGCTGACAAATATAAAAATGACAGATCAAAGGAAAATAAAAATTAATTATAGAATTTTTGTGTTTTTAGGTGTTTTTTTTACTTTCCAAACGATCACAGTATTGCAAAAACATTTCCATTGTGGTAATTCTTCTATTCTTTTTGAAATTGCAAACAAATATTTTTGGCGCAAATTAATAATTTTGTATGTATACTAACAAACATCAGCTGATCGGCATTTAAATCATGATTAAGGGTATGTGTAAACAATTAGGGTGTATTTCTGGATTTGTATATGTAAATGTACTTTAAGTCTGTCCTCAAAGGACCTATAAAGCCGTCAATAAACGAATAACAGAATAAGAAGAACTCCAATAAGGATAGAGAATCAAAACAAAACGAAAGTAATGGGGATTTAAAGGTCGAAAAAGTTACGAGTCACAGGTTTGTAAAGATCGATATCGGTAGAGACCGAATCCTAGATGGATGGTAAAATTTTGAGTGCAAGTTCGTTTAGATTTACGAAATCCACTCGATTTTAAATTTCAATTCCATAGTTTATACGTCAAATATAATCCACTGGATATGTGAAAATAGTTTGAAAAGTTCGGGAACGCAAATCTAGTGAATATGCCATAATTGGATGGCAATACTTAAAAATCAACATAAGTCTGCTTTTCCACAGGCAAATTTTTATTTGGCAAATACTTAGTTTGTAGGCGAGAGGGGTGCGAGAAAGAAAAACAAAAATTTGCCTGTTCAGAATTTGACGTACACGCAAATTCTGCTTTGCTCTGTTCGTTGAAAACAATTTTGTTGACATTTCCTTTTGAACTTATTCGCTTTACTGACACACAGCCGGCTTTTGTTTACAAACCTGTTGCTTTAATTTGTGTAAGTGAAATTTAATTTTTAATTTTTGCAATTTATATAATAAAATATTTAAAAAATAAATAAAATATTAAAAAATCGTTAAAATGCAAACACTTTTGACGTTTTTTTCTTTCTTTTGTATTTTAATTCGCAAATTTGGCAAAGAAAAATTTGCTAATGGAAAAGCAAGCGAAATTTTCAAAAGAGAAAACAAAAAATTTGCCAAGTAAGAATCTGCCTGTGGAAAAGCGGACATACAATTTTATGTATACCGATTGGCATATTTTAAATAAATGAAAAAATATATATTTTCTAAAGCTGAACTTTGCTCTCCAGATTTAACCATGGTTGTTATCATGATACAATAATACAAGGTAGGGCAGCTTGAGGTGAATAACAAGAAAGCAACTATGCACGTGTGGCTTCTTCTGCCAAAAATAATATAAATATTAGGTATTTTCATTTAAATTTTTAAAGCTGAATACAGTCAAATGCAAATTTATGAAAAAATTGGAAAAATATGTCTGCATGAGACTACCTTGTAAATTTATGCCATGTGTCAAACTTTCAACTGAAAAGAGAAAAAATCGTTTAAAAACGAAATGGAAAACTTTTATTTAAAAAAAAAGTTCCACCTCGACGTTATACTATAATTCAATAGACATCCGACCTCCTCGGCATCGTCGACCATTTTTCTAACCAGTTTATTTTAATGATTAAACCATGACCCTACTACCGTAATAATTTAATTATCATCACATATATTGTGATGTATAGATAGATGATGATATTTATGCCAATGCAAACATTGTTGTTAACCTAAAAGTAAAATATAAAAATAATTCCGCTGTATTTAGTACAGATTATATTTGCATAAGTTTTCTTGGCGTAAACTGCAGCTATACGTCATGTAAACATCTGTTTAGATAACATAAACAAACGTATATTACCTTAAAAACTAATATAGTTCCTATATCATAGTAAAGGGTCTGAATTCAAGCGGGAATTAAAAACATTACTATTAGTTTTTATTTCCAATATATCGGAATAATTTAAAATTCCATTTTATTAATTAATTTTGACAATTAATCACCAAATTTCCAAACTATTGACATTAACGACGCTTTCGTTTAGCTTACGCTCTGTCAGTGCTTGCTCAACACATCTCACTTTACATCATGTGACCAAATGCAACCCTGATGTCACTGTAGAGTAGAAAAAAATATCCGTACATTGTCGTCTCCCGTTTGTCGATTGTCATATGATCACGAACAAAAATGCTGCGAAATTTACTAATTTTATCTTTGTGCATTGTGGCAAGTAAGTAAAAATTAACAAAATAATTAAAATTACAAGGAAAATAATGTGTAATTTGTAAAATTATGCAGAAAACTTGCTTAAATTGATGAGAAAAGTGGAAAAAATCATAACAAAGTAAGGTGTTTCACCTGTGCGTCTGTGTGTGTGTATATGTGTCATGTGAAAGAAATGGGGGTTGCAGTGAAAAAAAAAAAAAAAAATAGATAAAAGTGTCCGTGTTCATAATGGAAAATAATATGTACATGTAAAATTGTTATGAGTAATTTATGATGGAATACTAAATGTTGTTGTTTATTTTGTTATCTTTGCAGTTAAGGCTTCGGGTGAATTCACCGTTTTGAGCACACCCAAGTCCTTGTCTTTCAAGGGCAACGAGCCATTACAAAGTCAATATGTTGGCGATGTTGTTTATGCCTCATTGGGTAATGCCGTAGCTGGAGACGCCCAATGGTCCGGTCTGACCATTGCTGATCCCTTCAATTTGCCCAAGGTTGTTGTTGCTGCCACCTTGACTGGTGTTGCTCATACCAAAGTTTCGGGAGCCGGCAAGAGTTACGAAATCCAAGGCAACTCTGTTAAGGAAGCTTTGAATGGTGTCTCTGCCCAATTGGAAGCTGACAACGAAGCTGTATGTGATCTTGACTTTGACGATTTGGAAGAGGGTGTAGCCAATTTCAAGAGTCTATTCGGTGATGTCGAAGTTGCAGCTGTTGAAAATACCAAATATTTGAATAGTGAATTGCACTCTGCTGATAAGCAATTTGTCCAAGCTATTGCTTACATTAATGCTGCCGCTGATAATTTGGCCAAGTTGCAAAAGAGTTGCAACTTTGTATCGATTCGTTTGTCTGCCGATTCTGTTGCTAAAGCTCATGGTGAAAAGTCAGAAGCAATCAACGAAGCCTTGGATCTCTTCACATCGGCTGTTAAGAACTTGAATACTGCTGCCCAAAAGGTCAACAACAATGGTGCTTTGGTTTTGTCCATTGTCAACAAATCGGAGAATAGCCGTGCTAAACGTGATGTTCCTCAACCTGATGTGGTGAGTGATGAATTGGAATTTTATAACTTGCGAGAGAATCAAGTCGGGCTTTTTGAGTTTTGTAATTGAATTTAATTCGAGGGAAAGTACAAAAGGGAACATCACTTAGAAATGGGACTGAGAATTTGTATAAGACGAAATTATTTCCGGATTCACATAACTTTGATTCAAATCAGGCTTTTTGAGTTTTGAAATTGGGTTTAATTTGTAGGAAAGTAGAGAATGAAACCTCACTCAGAAATAGGGCTTCGAATTCGTAATAGACGAACACATTACCTTGATTCATTGGTCTGAATTCTCTGTTTCTGGGCGGATTGATTAGACCGAAATTAAGTTCAAGGCTAGAGGCTTTTACACCACTGATACTAGATTATTATACAGTTTTGAAGACAAATCTGACTCATACTAACATGAGCTGTTGTTTTGACAAGAAAAGACCTTTTACTTATTTTCAAGAAGAATTTGTTTTACTGTTTGGCTATACATAGGGGGTTTAATACGTATCTGAAATGTACTAAGTTTAACATTTTACTCCACTGATACAAGACAGTCATATGGTACATCATATGTGGTACATCTAGGAGGGCCTTTGATTATCATTTATTAATTTGTTTTACAGACTATACATAGACAGCTCAATACCGAGAATCCGAGGCAACTATAACGTAGAGTTTAGCGGCTGATAAAATATGTAGCTATCTTCAAGAAGATTGGGATTATAATGAAAAATTTAATATTAATTTCAATTTTAATTTCAATTTATTTCATAAACAAGAACCTAGCCCAAAGGGCCATGAATCTTGGGTCTCCATAGTATATATTTTAAATTTGTTTGAAATTTCAAAATACGAGGTTTATTTATTTACTATAAAATTGGACATTTAACACATCCCGATATTGCATAAAACAATAAAAATTACACAGTTCACTTCCTGCATACAATTGTAAAATTTCTCACAAGCACATGACGGATTACGATAGACGTATGACTATTATTACTGACGTAATTTTCCAAAGAGTCATATGTTTACTTCTTTGTTTTGGATATTGGATGTAAACAATATTTATGTTTTCATTTTTTTATACCTCCGTTTTTTACCCATTTCGATCAGAGATTAAATATTTATTTATTTGATTACTTTTTTACGGTAAATAGGATTGATGTCGAAAATCTATTTTAAAATATATAAATTTTCCACATATATAAATTCCAAAGGGGAGGGGTTTTTAGTTGCTGAAAGACAAGACCTAATGCCTATACTAAAATTGTATCTTTTTATATATAAATATTTTATTTAAATTAAATCCTTTAATTTTTATTTATACAAACAATAATTTTTTTCTTGTTGTTTCTTTATATTAGGACTACAATTTGGCTGAATACTACAATGAAGATTATCCAGTCATTTTCAACATCATCTTATGGTTCATGGTTACATTCGGTTTTGCCTTGTTGGCTATCTGCTATGCCATCGGTTCCATGGATCCTGGACGTGATTCCATCATTTACCGTATGACTTCAACCAGAATGAAGAAGGATAACTAAATTGTGATGTGCAATGTTCCAGCATTATTATTAATATTTTTAAAAATTTTAAATCATGTTAATTTGTTAACACAAAAAAAGACTAGGCAACATCGCGTTTTGTTTTCCCTTAGCTTTCTCTCTTTCAGATGTTGAGAACAATTCAAATTATTTCCATTTATTTTTTTTTCGAACATTTTCGTTCTTAATGTGTGTTACATTTCCAAAATTCCAATCAACAACATCTAAATAAGACATCTATAAGTAAACAACAACAACCAACTAAATAAAATATTATTATCAACAACAACAATAATATTAATCTACTATATATAGTATAATTACCATATACTTTTAAGTATGAAATCTTAATCTTCTTCTATAAGTATTAATTGTTCATAAAGTTACGATATACACTTAGAGAATATATGTATAATACATAACAACTAAATTGGGGTCTTTTCTTTTATGTATTATAATTTAAATTAAGCTACAAAATAAATATGTTGTTATCCACCTCCTAACAAAATATATTCCAATTTATTATTATTTTTTTGTTCAGTTATTTTGTTGTAGCTTAAGTTTTGTTTTTCTCTTTGATTAAAAAAAAAAATACTTAAAAACCCAAAAATAAATTGTGTGTTCTATATTTAAATACATTTTGGTTACAGAATGTATATATATATATATATATATATGGAAATACAAATATATATGTTAATGTAAACTATGATTTCGATCACTAAATGCTTTACCGTCAATGTCTACCCATATAGGCCATGCTGTAACAAAAGTAGGTCAGCTGGATTTGTACTAACAAAATCATTAAGATTACCTTCTTGCCTATTAAACCCCATCTTGTAGGGGAGGTACCAGATGAAGTGGATGAGTAAATCAAGTATTGGGATTTGAACACTCAATTTGACAGGAAAAGGTGCCGAACTCCCTAAAATGCCGACATTATGTGGAGCCATAATTGAAAATTTCGGCCAAGTTATTAAAAAAGAAACATGCACTTTAATTGAAAATATTCTTTGAAGAAGTTGTATATCCACAAATGTCCCTTAATGTCAAATTATAGCCATTTCGTAACACCAAAATGCAGTAAGTTGGGCAATGCGACTAGGACTATACAAATACCGATATTATAAGGGGCTACACCGAAATTACAACCTACATTTAAAAGGTTTCATAGAAGATTTGACGCCCAATGAGAATTAAAAATGTCCAACTCGGTTGAAAAATGTGTCTGAAATCCTGAGAACTAAACCATAGCAATCGGGTATAGTATGGGCCTTGACGCACCATTCACATGAAATCGAACGAATATATGTATATATATTTATATATACATATATAAGATATATATTTCAATGTAATACAATTCCTATCGATTTATAGCATTAGATTTTCGATTAAATAAATCTGCTGCGAAAATTTTAACCTCAATCTTCACTGGCTCATACACTCTTGTCTATATAAACGTAGTTTAATTTGTAATAAAATGTTTGTACAGTACTTTGAAACAGAAAGTGGAACGTTTTTAATTTTTGTCTGGTTGTGAACAACTCTCTGAAATCAACGAGACTAAGAGAAGAAAAACAAAAACCGTGCCGCTGCAGATCAAAACAATCTCAGAATTTACTGAATTAGAAATATTAAAATTTCCAAAGATTTCAATTAATCTGAGCAATCATGTCTATTGAAATCGAATCTGCTGAGTATGTGCATCAAATTGTATCTTTGACGTAATTTTAATTCATTTCCCTATAATTTGCAGCGTTATCCGTCTGATCCAGCAATATCTCAAGGAATCGAATTTATACAAAACCCTACAAACTTTACAGGAAGAAACCGGTGTCTCACTGAATACGGTCGATAGTGTTGATGGTTTTGTTCAGGATATAACAAATGGCCACTGGGATACCGTATTAAAAGTGACACAGAGTCTTAAATTGCCCGACAAGAAGCTTCTGAATTTATATGAACAGATAGTTCTGGAATTAATTGAGTTGCGGGAGTTGGGAGCGGCGCGTTCACTGCTGCGTCAAACCGATCCAATGATTATGTTGAAACAACAGGAACCGGAACGTTATATACATTTGGGTAAGTTTGTGTTTGGAGGGGGTGGGGAAGGGAAAGATAGACAAGAGGCTGGAAATTAATTAGAGTTTTCCTTTTGATAAAAAGTTTCCTATGATGAGACATGGGAGACTGCAGAATGGAGATCCTGTTTATGCCTCCCCATTTATTGAATTTTTGTAGATTATATAGGCCATTCATAAAGAGCTAACTTTCCCTATAATTTCTTTATTAAAAAAGTACCATCCTGCGTTCTCTTCCAGAAAATATGCTGCAGCGAGCCTATTTCGATCCTCGTGAAGCCTATCCCGAATATAGTAGTAAAGAGAAACGTCGACATACCATAGCACAAGAGCTAAGCGGTGAAGTTCACGTTGTACCATCATCACGTCTATTGGCATTACTGGGCCAGGCATTAAAATGGCAGCAACATCAAGGTTTACTACCACCCGGTACAACAATCGATTTGTTCCGTGGTAAGGCAGCAATGAAAGACCAAGAGGAAGAAATGTATCCCACTCAAATGTTTAGACAAATTAAATTTGGACAAAAGTCGCACGTCGAATGTGGACAATTTTCACCCGATGGCCAGTATCTTATTACCGGCAGTGTTGATGGTTTTATTGAAGTTTGGAACTTCACTACCGGAAAAATCCGAAAAGATTTAAAATATCAGGCACAAGATCAATTTATGATGATGGAACAGGCCGTGTTGGCATTGGCCTATTCCCGTGACTCTGAAATGGTTGCATCCGGTTCACAAGATGGACAAATTAAAGTGTGGCGTATTATGACCGGCCAGTGTCTGAGGAAATTCGATAAAGCCCATACAAAGGGTATAACATGTTTGCAATTTTCACGTGATAACAGTCAAGTCTTGAGTGCTTCGTTTGATCACACAATCCGCTTGCACGGTCTTAAATCGGGAAAAATGCTTAAGGAGTTTAAAGGGCATACATCGTTTGTGAATGAGGTAACATTTACGCCAGATGGACATAGTGTGCTGAGTGCCTCCTCAGATGGAACTGTGAAGATTTGGTCTCTTAAAACAACCGAATGTTTGTCCACCTATAAACCTCTGGGCAATGAATTGGCCGTTAATACCGTTTTAATTTTACCCAAAAATCCTGAACATTTTATTGTTTGCAATCGTTCAAATACTGTGGTTATTATGAATATGGCAGGGCAGATTGTGAGATCCTTCAGTTCGGGTAAAAGAGAGGGAGGTGCATTTATTGCAGCCACATTATCACCAAGAGGAGAATTTATTTACTGCGCCGGCGAGGATCAGGTGTTGTATTGTTTTTCAGTATCATCGGGAAAATTGGAAAGAACTTTGAATGTAAGTAGAAGCGATAACGGATATAATTGAATTTCTCGCTTTATTGACGTCAATTCTTGTTTTGTTTATCTATCCAAAGGTACATGAAAAAGATGTAATTGGTTTGGCCCATCACCCACACCAAAATTTATTAGCTACCTACAGTGAAGATGGTCTGCTGAAATTATGGAAACCTTAAGTCTATTAGTAGAATATGTAAGTTAATTTTAATTACTCCATTAAGTAGAATATATAGTTTCATGTTATAAGACTATCAAAGAACATTTGACTGTTGTCCAAAGCTACTCCCATATAACATTTAAAACTGAATAAATATGCATATGTGTTTACTTACCTACGCCCTCTTGCAATTGCAATAATCTTTGCTAAAATTGGGTTTAATTAAGAATTATGCAAAATAAACGAATGCTAAGAAATGATATATACATATATATGTATGTAAATACTAATGTGTAGCCCAACTGCATTTTTTTAAGTAAAATGAAATAAAAAGAAAAAACAAAGGCAAAGATACGCCAACGATGATAGCAGCAGACATTATAAATTTATCTTTAATTGATGGTCGCTGATGATAGACTTCTGTCTATCATGTATAAGTCATATAATCAACATTTGATTGCTTGGGAAAACAAATCTTTAGTTTATTATCGACATTGGAGGGATAAACAACATCTCAACTCATCTGACAAAAACATACTTTTTTGTATTACCTTTTTTAAATTAATTACCCAGAACGTCAAAATGAAAAGTGATGAAATTATTGATAAAATGCGTAATAAACTACAAGAATCGGATCCTTCTAATCGCAGTGTAACAAATGTCTTTCAATTTCATTTCACCGATTCGGATGGCAATCTAATCAAAAGTATGGGTATGTATTGAAAAGCTGCAACCCTTTTGTAAGCATAAACAAAAATGTCTTGCCCAAAACATCCTATGTGTGTTTGTGTTATACCTTTATGGCTCATTAATTGATATTTTAATAGTTTTTGATTTTAAAGAATTAAACATCTATGAGGGTACATGCTCTGATGCCGATACAGAGATAACAGTTAGTGATGAGAATTTTTATTTAGTTGGTTCGAAAGAAACCACATTTGATGAATTGCTTGCTAATGTAAGTTAATAAACATATCATTTTAATTTTAATTATACCGAAAAAAATCTTTTATCTTTTCAGAACAATGTCAAAATAGATGGAGATGCCGAAGCTTTTAACAAACTGAAAGAAAAATTTCGTCTTAATTCGAAAAAGGAATAAAAATACAGGAACGATGACTGAGAGAATTTCGAATCTTCAAATATTATTACACGAAACACATCTGTAGACGATTGCATGCATAAAACATATTTGTATGTTCAGCATGATTAGCATACAAAATGTAACTGGATGGAATTTGAAATAAAATTAGATAATAGTAGCCAAAAACCAAACCCTTTTATTTATTAATTTATTGTTTTTTTACTAAAAAATGTTTTCGTATTAAGTCAGGAAAACCAACCTTGTCAATTAAAAAAAATTCCAGGCGTGTCGGTCTTGTGCACATCTCATCCAATTTGAAAGACCATATTCCGAGATGTTGTCGTCTACTTGATCTTTCCATCGGATTCGTGGCCTTCCCCTCCTGCGTGAACCATCACTTTTTTATATGCCTTTTGAGCTGGGGCATCTTTATCCATTCTCACAAGATGATCCATTTGACTATGTCGATGTCTGAGAACAGATTGTATAGCTCATGGTTCGTTCGACGGCGATATTCACCATCATGCAGATCTGCCATAGATCTTCCGGTTATTTTTTTTCGCAAACACCTCAAGAGTGTAAGTTTGGTTTGGCTTATTCAGACCATATTAGCATCTGTTGACCTACACTATTCTCCTCCGGATTTCACAGCTGATATTAGTTTTGTTTATGGCGGTACCGAGGTATATAAAATCGTTCACAACCTCGAAGCTGTTTTCAAGTTCCGCAGCTGGTCCGAGTTGATACCATCAGCTTGGTATTTTCACCATTTACTGCCAGTCCCACCTTTGCAGACTCCTTCCCAATTCGTTCAAAGGTGGCTATTACCGCTCGCAATGTTCGACCTATTATGTAGATGTCGTCGGCGGGTAACATATGCTGTTTGGCGCACAGAATGCCATTTCTGTTTACATTTGTATTTCGTATGACCTTTTCCAGCGTAGTGTTAAACAGGTCACACGACAAACTGTCACCTTGCCTGAATCCTCGTTCGGTTTTGAAGGGCTCCGAGAGGTCCTTTCCTACATTAACTGCTGACATTGTACCAGTTACATTTATCCTGCATAGCCGTATTAATTTTTCAGGAATGCCAAACGCAGACATGGCTTTAAACACCTCCGAACGGATAAGGCGGATTTATAGTCGACGAATAGGTGGAATGTGTCGATGTGTTTTTCACGGGTTTTTCCAGAATCTGGCGCAGAGTGAAAATCTGGTCACAAATCTGGTTGGCACATATCGTCTTGTCTCCTTTTTTGTGCACGGGACACAGGATGCTGAGGTTCCAATCATTGGGCAAATTCTACAAATGAGCTGGTGCATGCTCCTGACCAGCATCTGACCACCGGTCTTGAATAGATTGGCTGGTTATCAATCGGCACTTGCTGCTTTATTGTACTTTAGTCGATTAATTGATATTCTGACCTCATCTTGGCTAGGTGGTATACACTCTATACCAGCCTTCGGTTTGGTGTTTACCCGTTGGTAAAATTTCCGGACTTCATTCTGACTCCTGTACATCTTGATTTGCTCACGCTCACGTTTTTCTTGTTCTTTCTTATTTTTTCTGAAAATACGTTTCTCCCCCTCCTTTTCTCCCATACGCTGCGTTTTTCACATCGTACCATAGGTTTCTTGATGCTGGTTTTTGGTACCCAAGTGTTGATTTTGCTGCAGTTTGTAGGGAGTGGGCAATTCTTTGCCATTGTGCTTCTATACTATTATCGTTTCTTCATGAAGGCTGAAATTTCCGACGGTGGGGCCAAATATATTTTGGGCGCAAATGAGACTGATGTAGAAGAACTTCGATTTTATACGGATTAAAGCAATTCGCTCATCTACTGGTGTGACTCTGGAGACGAGGTCTTTTATTCTTCTGTCTCGTTTCATGACAGCTATAATACAGGGCGTAACCATCTGATTTAATTACGCCAGTCCCTTTCCATCGTCCCTTTCCATCTTGAGTACCTCCGCCAAAGTGAACACTGCGCTTGTTCTGTACAACGCGCGCACATTCCAAGTGCAGATTCGCAGATCGTGGTCCTTTATACGTTTGCGGGGGTCGTCAACATTAGGTGGGTTTGGTTTTCTTTTTCTTTGCTTTTTCATAGTAGGTTCTGTAATCTAATAGTAATTTTATTTTCAAATATAAGTTTTAAATTTCTACCTTTTAAATCAAATCTAAATTTTACTAAATTTTGTACCCTTTGGTGCACATAAAAAAAATTTAATTGTAACACATTTAGTACACATAATGACGAATTTTCAAAACTACCAACACATCTCAATCCTGCACTCCAACTGTAATAGAAATTCATAATTTCAGGATCACAACACTATCCGTTCACAATAAAAAAAAATTGGGACCATTTAGTACTTTTTGTTTCTATAATTAAGAATTTCCTAAACTACGTCAATCCTACACCCCAACAGTAATTTTAATTCCAAAATTCTGGAGTTCAGCTCTATCCGTTCACACATAATCAAGTTGTACCAAATATAGTAGCATTTAGTACACGTAAGTACTATGCTTCTATATCTCAATTCTATTTTCAACAAATATTCCAAATTTTAGGTATCCTACTCTCTCTACTCATTTAAATCCAAATTATACCAAATCTAATGCCGTTTTTTTCGCACACATAAATACGATTATCCAAAGATGTCTCTATAGCTCAATCTTCAACAGTGATCTTAATTCCAAATTTTAGGTTTTCAGCTCTATCCTTTCAAGTAAAATCCAAATTGCACTAAATTTAGTACTTTTCGTACTAATAACTACGAATTTTCCAAACTACACTCCAACAGTCATTTTAATTCCCATTTTGAAGACTCCAGCTTTATCTGTTCACCTAAATCCAACTTGCACCAAATTTTGTACCATTTAGTACTTTACGTACACATAAGTACGATTTTTTTAAAGCTACCTCAATCCTGTACTTCAATAGTAGTCCTCATTCCTATTTTTAGGATTCCCTCTCTATACACTCAACTAAATGCAAATAGTACCAAAATTAGTACCATTTTGTACTTTTTATATATAGATCCATACATCAACACCACTTCACAACCTTTATTCCATATACAATTTCAAGATTTTAGCTATATATGTTCAATATATATACAATTAAAACTAAATTTAGTAAAGTTTAGTACTTTTCGTACACATATAAGTCGAATTTCGAAAAACCCTTTCCATCAGTGACCCACATTCCAAATTTCGGAATTCTTTACGTTTGCCTAATACAAAGGGTACCATATTTGATACATTTTAGTACTTTTCGTACCCTTCTAGTTCCAATTTCCAAAAACGCAGCCTTATCTCACGCATACACACTAACAACAACCCACAATCAAAATTCCAAGCTTCCAGCCAGACCGACAGCCGACAAAACCGACGGACATGGATAAATCGACTCCAAATTTTCTGAAACGGATTTGGTCCAAAGAAACATGGGGTCTAAAACTAATATTTCGATGAGGAACATTTTCACCGTATCCGCCATAAGGCTGAGGGTATAAAAAACAAATCGAAATGGGCATAAGTGCATTATACCGTGTATACGATATAGATGTGGAGAGAATTCAAAAATCATCACATACTTACCATCACTACCACAATTGAAATAAAAATAGCTCAATTTTTCAATTAAATATTTCAGTTTTGTTTTTTTCATTCATCATCATTTTTATTTAAAATTAATGTTTTTCAAAATACTTGCTAATTTGTTGTTGTTGTTTCATTACATTTTCATCTCAATACTTTTTTAATTTGTTTTGGATTTTGTTTTTTATTATTTTTGGCAAGCACTTGTTTCAAATTAAATCTCAATAATAATACAAATATACATACATAATAATAATCATCATCATAACAAAAAATATATATCATTTATATAAATATTATGTAATCAAATGAAATATGTATACAATAATAATTGTAATCGTAATAATAATAATAATTGTTATAATATAACTGATCATTTCATAAATCAATAATCAATTTTCGATTGATTGATTGATTTGATGTTTAACATTTTTTTGGGGGTAGTTTTTTTTATTTATTCTTTTTTTAAAAACGATATATAATAACGTACACATACATACATGTTTTGAAGTTTGTTTGTGTGTGTGGATACGATTTTGGGGGGTTTTTGTTGTAATTATAATATAGTATATAAATAACATAATATTGACAAACATTATTTTTTGTTGTTGTTGTAGTTTTGTTGAATGTTGTTTTTGTTGTTGTTTTTTTTTTCAAATAAAACATTTTTTCATTTCTCTTCTAAACATTTATGTAATAATTGTTGTGTGATTTCCTGTTTTGTTTACATCGTTTTTTCTTCTTCCTTTTTCTTTTGTTGTTGTTTTTAATTATTATAATGATCATTTTTTTTTTGTTTTTAATTTTAATTTTGTTAATTCGTTTTTTTTTTGTTTAATATTTCTTTTTTTTTAATTATCTGTAATGTTAACATGATTTAGATTTCATTTTAATTATATGGGGATCATTGTTTTGTTTTCATCAGGGTTTGTATTGGTTTTTATTAACTTTGTTGTAGTTGTTGTTTTAATATATGTATAATTTTAATATAGTTTGCTTTGTTGAATTTATTTTCTTATTATTTTTGGGTTGTTGTTTGGGGATTTTTTCTTTTATTGTGTTTGTTGTTTAATTACGTTGGAATTTAAATTTATTTTAAGGTTTTGTTTTTATTTCGTTCATTGTTGTTGTTGTTTAGATTTATGAAGTTTCATTTCTATTATTATTATTTGAATTCACTTAATATTTATCATGTTTTTTTTGTTATAATTTATATTTCTTAAATTTTACTAACAATATTTATTTCATTTTCTTTTTTTTCATTTATTATTTAAAAGCTTCAAAAGGAAGCCATTTCCGTGTTTTGTTTAAATGAAAACCTAAAATAAAAATCATTTTAAATTCAACTGAAATATTATTTTAAATATTAATTTATTGGCTTAATACTTAGCTTAATATTTCTGATGATTAG